TGAGAGCCAGTGTTATCGAACATCCAAACACTTCCATCCGACATCGCGGAAAGGAATTAAATATCAGTCGCAGTACATTACAACGAATTTTGACAAATGATTTATATCTTCATCCTTACAAAATACAGTTTACACAAGAGCTGAAGCCAGCCGATCATAAACAGCGCAGAAACTTTGCGAATTGGATATTGGAACAACTCGGAGTTGACGATGCATTCCACAACAAAATTATCTTTAGTAATGAGGCGCACTTCCATTTGAACGGCTTTGTAAATAAAAGAACTGTCAGATTTGGGGGGAAGAGCATCCACATGCCTTGCACGAGCTTCCAATGTATCCTAAGAAAGTGACAGTTTGGTGCGCCATTTGGGCAGGAGGGATCATCGGACCTTATTTTTTTCAAAATAACGAAGGTGTCTCCGTGACTGTTAATGGTGATCGCTACCGTAGCATGCTCAGAGATTTTCTTTGGCTGGAAATGAATGGAATGGACATAAGTAACTTGTGGTTTCAACAGGATGGCGCGACCTGTCCCACCGCACCCGAAACAATGGCGTTACTGCAAACAAAGTTCCCAGGTCGTGTTATCTCTCGATTTGGAGACCAAAACTAGCCGCCGAGAAGTTGCGATTTGACGTCCTTAAGCCTTGTTTTCTTTGAACACTTCGTCGCGGTGAGCGGACAGTCCGTCAACCGTCGCGTTTTGACGATTTTATCCAACCAGAGCATTTAAATGGGAATAGTTTTCTTGAATCCGCTTAGCTGAGCAGGACGGCGTCATGCCGCTGATTTGTCGCGAAGAGTCGGTTGATATCTGTTGAGTTTGATATCAGCGGAATCGTCGGCGTGTGCTGAGACTATATTGTTATTAATTTTAAAACAATGGGTGACAAATTCACACATACAAATGACATCATGACTTTATTTTTAGATTTCTTGGAAATTATGTCCTTTATAAAACAACACGAATTCAAAAAGATCTGTAGAAAGTCTAAAATACTCCCTAAATTTGATTTCATTTCCAAAAAACCTCCGCTGCACAATGATATTAAAGGCACCTTCTATATCGCGACACAAAAACAACTCATCCACTGGCTTATTGGAAACTTTGACAGTTGCAATTGCCAGTTCCTCTTGTTCTTCCTCTTCCAACAATAATAACAACGCAAACAATTTATTTGCATCCATTTTAGTACCTTTCGTTTACATTCATAATACATAAACAGCACGTACAGACCTAGAGAAAGTATCATTTTCTATATTTTTTAACAAACCACCTCGGGCGAAAATTGCTGTCCTCAGCGGTCGACAGACTGTCCGCTCACCGCGACGGAGTGTTCAAAGAAACCAAGGCTTTAGACTATTTCCTCTGGGGGTATTTAAAAAGTAGAGTGTATAGGAACCATCCTGAGACGATTCAACAAATGAAGGAAGAAATCGAACGTAATATTCGTGAAATCCAGCCGATTTTGCTTGAAAACTTCTTTCAAAATTTCGTCAAACGAATATACACCTGTCAACGGAGCCGCGGTGGCCATTTGACAGATATTTTGTTTCATGTTTAATGTCAACATTTTCTCTTGAAAATCCAATAAAATATTTGCATATTTTTTTTTAATTACTGTGTTTTCATTGTCATTAAAAATTCAAGTTCTTATTGGGACACCCTTTATTTCGGTTTAGAAGGCCATTACAGACTTCGCCCATTATATCCTGGGGTCTGCTATATCTTGGGCCTAGGGCGCTAGGCGCCTCAAAATATAAAAGTGCTCGGCCTAGGTATACCTGGTGTTCCAAATTAAAGCGTTACAGCTATACAGGGTGGACCGGATTTAATTTGCATATACAGGGATCTCGTAAACCGTAAGATATACGTTGTCGGTTAAATGGGGAAAAAGTTTCTTATTTTGATGGATAATACAATGGTCCATAGAAGTTCCAGATTTTCTGACTGGTTCCGGAGATATTCGATAAAATCCGAAAAACCTCATTATCGTTTTTTAAGTCGTGCATGGTTATTATAAATGATACAAAAAAAAATTGTACGAAGTTTTTGTTAGAAATCAAGTTCCCTATAATCTGCCATGTCAAAATTTTTATTACGACGTTTCGTATTTGCAGGGCCACCTTCCACTTATTTTTTTAAATACGGACATGGATTTTTAATTGTAATTTTTTTATAGCTTTTGTATAGCTAAATACAACGATATGTTACACTTTACCATTTTACTACGTTTCGTCTATGAAAATATCATCAGCTATGTAACTTCTGGTGATACCGTTTCTTACTTGATTAAAACAAGATAGCTATTTAAATAATAATTAAAAAACAAAAAATGCTTAAAATGTGAAATTTTAAATATTATTTGAAACATAATACAAGAATTATTTAATTACAAAATGGGTTACAATTTTTTATCAAACATGATTAAGTACAACCAGCAAACAAGACTAATGAAGAACGAATTATGGTTGTACACATTCTACAAATAATAAAGCTAATAACAAAAACAAAATTGAAAAACAAAAACAGTCACAATAGTTGCTCAAAATGTAGTCCATTCTGTTGGATACAGAGTGCAATTCTCCTAGACATTTGGGATGTAGTTTTATCAACCATTTCTGGTGTAATTTTTTCAAATGCATCTACTATTCGTTGACGAAGTTCTTGTAGATTATTTGGCATATTTTTGTCGTAGATTCGGTTCTTTACGAAGCCCCATACAAAATAATCCATGGGGTTAAGACACGGAGATCGAGGAGGCCATCTTATTGGTCCATTGGTACCAATCCAATTACCTCTAAAATATTGATCGAGATACTCTGCAACCCTCCTAGCATTGTGTGCACCACAACCATCTTGCATAAAGTATTGAAGATTTTGTCTTGTTTGTAAGGGTATCTCATCGAATACTTCCTCCAATAAATGTAGGTATCAGACTGATTTAAATTACCATCCAAAAAAATCGGCCCAATAATCTGATAATTGATTAGTCCACACCACACTTTTTGGGTAAAACGGAACTGTGGTCTAACTTCTCTGATTAAATGGGGATCATAAGTAGCATACAAATGCTTGGTCCTAGGATTAAATATTCCACTATTAGTAAAGGAGCATTCATCCGTCCATAATATCTTTTTGTTGAAAGAACGGTCATTGCGCAGTTTTCTACTATATCAACGACAAAACATCAGTCTTCTATCAGAGTCTCCAGCGTGTAATTTCTGGACTTTTTGAAATTTATACCCGTGGTATTTATGTTTCTTTAAAATTCTTTTAACCGTGGAGGTTCCTACTACACATTCTTTAGCTATTCGTCTAGTAGAATTTTTAGGGTTAATATATATTTGGGCAAGAACATTAATTTCATTATCAGTATGTCGAACCTGATATCTAGTTCTCCTTTTTTTCACACTGCTATGCTCTGCCATATTTTTTGAAATATAATAAAACATCCTCTTAGATGGCTGTTGTCTATCAGGATATAAATCTAAATAAGTCTGAGCAGACCGGGTTTCATTCCTATAGCATCTTATGTACACATCATACATACCTCTCTTCTTCAGTATAACGAACCATAATATTTATTTAATTTTAAATTATTTAAAGCTAAAAAAGTACTGTAATATTAGATGTTACAGATTACAACAGAAATATTGGTGACAAGTTACAACTGACATGCATGGCAAACATGATTTTGTTAAGATCTTATGTATGCAAAAATGAAAACATTAAAGATAGAAAAAATACGGTGTGGAAACCTAGGCGAAACACTTTACAGAAAATCAGGTGATAGAAATTTATAGATTGCTTGACTGTTTTGTTTTTCATTTTATGTTTCTGTTATTAGCTTTATTATTTTTTGTAGAATGTGTACAACTATAATTCGTTCTTCATTAGTTTTGTTTACTGGATGTACTTAATCATGTTTGATAAAAAATTGTAACCCATTTTGTAATTAAATAATTCTTGTATTATGTTTCAAATAATATTTAGAATTTCACATTTTAAGCATTTTTTGTTTTTTAATTATTATTTAATTAGCTATCTTGTTTTAATCAAGTAAGAAACAGTATCATCAGAAGCTACATAGCTGATGATATTTTCATAGACGAAACGTAGTAAAATGGTAAAGTGTAACTTATCGTTGTATTTAGTTATACAAAAGCTATAAAAAATTACAGTTAAAAATCCAGGTCCGTATTTAAAAAAATAAGTTGAAGGAGGTCCTGCAAATACGAAACATTGTAATAAAATTTTTGACATGGCATATTATAGGGAACTTGATTTATAACAAAAACTTCGTATTATTTTTTTTGTATCTTTTATAATAACAACGCACGACTTAAAAAATGAAAATAAGGTTTTTCGGATTTTATCGAATATCTCCGGAACCAGTCAGAAAATCTGGAACTTCTATAGACCATTGTATTATCCGTCAAAATACGAAACTTTTTCCCCATTTAACCGACAATGTATATCTTACGGTTTATGAGATCTCTGTATACGCAAATTAAATCCGGTCCACCCTGTATACCGCTTTTTATAAAAAAAAAAAACGTTTCAGAGGAAAGTTTTATAGTTTTGTAGGGAAAAACTTTTGGCTAAAATCATTTTTTATAGCTAACCATAATGGTGAACTTTTTTTTCGCGCAGCAACATTTTCAAGTAGCTGTTACTCAAAAAGTAAAAGTCCAATAAAAAAAATATTTCCCTCAAAAGTTTCTTATTTTTTTATGTACTTTAAGAATATGTAAGAAAAAAATGGGATTCCCATTTAAAAAAACAAAGTTCACCTCGATATGACCATATTATGGTCAACTATAAAAAAAGGAATTTAGCCAAAATGTTTCCCCCAAAAAACTATAAAACTTTTGTCTGAAACTTTTTTTTCTAAAATGCATATTTTCGGCGGTATTTAACTGTAACACTTTAATTTGGAACACCCGGTATAATACACTATTTTTCAACTTTGAATACGTTTTTATTTGCTTTTCAGGTATTTCTAAGAGGGAGAATCAACGCACCCGCCTTTTACTCAAAGTTATGGCAGTATCGGACGTTATTATTTATAGGACAAGAGCGGAAAGGCTGCAAAGGGATATGTATACATTTCTAGGTTCAGCTTCTACCGTTTACAAGGAACATTTTAGTTCTGCGTTAAAAAAGGCGTTGGCGAAAAAGGAGACTGAAGCTTTTTCTGGTGCTATTGGTCCAGGGGTCGTAATTTTTCATGAAACAAGGTAATATTCTGAGAGAATCACAAAATAATTTAAAACTAAAATTTGTATTAAAAAAATTCAAATGTGATTAGATACACAAAATATATAATCAAATTTTAAATTAAAGACTTGCTTCTTTGATAACATTATAAACTATATTTGCTATGATAAAAACTATGAACAAAGATATTAAATTTAAAATTGGTAGCAGGTCAAAGATAATTTATTGAAAATAAAAATAATTTGCAAGGCTAAACAATAAATATAAATATTAGGATGATAATATATATATTGCTTTGTGAAATATTCAACTTAAAATGAGTCATAATTTTTCTTTCTTATTACAATTAATTAACTCACATTTTCATAAGCAATACGCAATATTAGTGATGACCTAATTTGTGTACTATATGTGCAGTCTTAAATTAGTAATTAATAGTTATAAGTTACAATACTAAATAAGTTACAATAAAGTACAATAATGGAAACCAATTATATAATAACAAGCACCTAGGTGAGAACACCTGTATGTGCTGACAAAAATTAAAATTTTATTTTAATTATATTTAATGAATTATAAAGGAAATAAAAAAAAATTTTAAATAAAAAATAAAACTTTTATGTAAGAAACAGAAAAAAAACTATTAAAAAAAATCCATGTATTAAGTCCGTTATTCTTGGAATATTCTGATAAACTTTGAATTATTTTGGAAAATGTATATTTTGCAAAATGTATATTTTGCTAACTTTACAGAATTTTTTATATTTGTTTAATGATTTTATATGAAGAAGTAGAGCGTTATAGAACTTTGTCCCTAGATAATTTACACTGTTTTTAAAAAACACACTATTTGGTTTTGGTACTTTAATGCACATGTTCGATGCAGTTCTAGTGTTATGTCTATGTTCTAAAGGGTTTTTTAAAAATTCATTTTTTTGTATATAACAACACACTGCGTGAATATATAAACATCTAACATTGCTAATTTTTTCATTATATAAAGTTATGGTGGGACACAATCTCTCTTTTATATATTAACTTCAATATTTTGTTTTGAATAACATTTAACTGATTTAATGTAGTTCCATACAGGCCTCCCCATACTAAGATTCCATACCGTAGTATAGATTCTACTAGACTGTAGTATGTTATTAGTAGATCCTGGTTGAGAAATTGTTTTAGAAGATAATCCAAGTTTTTTTGTTATATATATTATATGGCAGTCCCATCTTAAGTGCTGGTCTATAATTATACCTAAATATTTGGATGTTTCTGTTTCCTGTATGTCTAAATTTTGACATGTTAAGCTTCTAAATTGAGGTCGATCAGCCACTGTCTTTGAAAAAGCAATATAGTTTGTTTTATTAACATTCAAAAACAATTTAAAAACTTACAGCCAGTTTTTGACATGTTCAATTCCAGCTATAGCACGTGGCTTGACGGCTTCCCAATCTTTATCACTGAAGACTAGCACTGTATTATCAGCATATGATACAACTTTACCTTGAATATCAATCTGAGTTAAGCTCTTAATGTATAAATTAAATAGTATAGGTCCCAGAACAGTCCCGTAAGGCACTCCGATCTGTATATTTTCAGGGTTACTCACATTGTCTCTGACCTTTACCTTGTCTGTGTGCCAAATAATTTTCAAAAACCTTCAACCCAATGCCACTCACTCCATTCTGTTCAAGAACATTTAAGAGCTTCTGATGTGGCACCGTGTCAAATGCTTTTGCTAGATTTAGAAATATAGCTATACACTTGTTACCAGTATTTATTTCATCAGTAACATATGAACTCAATTCATGTATAGCATCTCCTCAGTAAAGCCATATTGGTGCTTGGGAAGTAAGTCATTAGTTTTTAAAAAATCTGTCCGTCTAACTTTCACACATTTCTCAAATATTTTGGCCACATTACTAATTAAACTAATAGGCCTATAGTTAGTTATTAATTTTGGATTACCAGCTTTATAAATAGGTGTTATAATTGAAGTTTTAAATTGTTTAGGTACCATTCCTGTATTAAAAATACAATTAATTATATGCATTAAAGGTTCCAGTAAATACGGATGTAGTAGTCTCAGATGTTTTACTGTTATACAATCAAATTCCGGGGCACTGTTGGTTAACAATTTGTAAATTGGTATTATTTTTTTTATGATTTTCATTAGTAGCTTCAGAGATTAATTGATAAGTTTTTTTCAGATTATTTTTGTTTTGGTTTATTTTATTGTTATAATAGTCATTTTTAGTTTTTTGATATTAGTTTGTTTAAATTATTTCTAAATGTTTTATAGTGAGTTTGTTTGTTAATAGTATAGTTTTTTTGTAGATCTTTTTTAAGTTTATCCCTAGTTTTAATAGAATTAATTAAACCATTTGTTATCCATGGCTTTATTTTTTTATGGATTTTAATTTTAATATTTTGAGTGGTTTACCATCTTTCAATGATATTAAGATATGTGTCATAAAAAAAGTTGTGTTGCAATTTCTGGATCATTTTCATTGCAAACACTTTCCCAGTTTACAGTTTCGAATTTTTGTTTTATCAGTATCGATTTTAGTTATAGTTTTATACGTATTGTAGGAACTTGTGTAATTTTTGGCAGATTGTGAGATATTTATCATAATAGGATCATGATTAGTCATATCATATCATAGCTGATTACATAAGAGTTCACCGATAGATTTTCAGTCTTAATATTGTTTTTTAAGAATGTATGATCCAAGCATGTTTTACTTTGTGGCCTCGTAATAGTGTTTATGTAAGACATGAAACCATGGAAGTAAAAAGTTTGGTAATCAGTAGTTACTTGATTGGTTACATTTAGGAGATCAATATTAATGTCCCCTATGAATATTTCAAAATTTCTATTTAGGTGATTTGTTATGAAATTTTCTAAATCCCTTATAAATGCTTGTGCAGAGGTTTGAGGAGACCTGTATACACCTGTAATGCCAATGGCCCTATGATTGACTTTTAGATTTATTTTAGTAACACAAATATCAGAATATTCCAGTTTAACTATATTTAATTCTGCATTTAGATTTAACCTGACCAAAATTACAACACCATCATTTCTGTTAATGTTACCATTGTTATAGTGGGTGGTGAAGCCATCTAGGTTAAATTGAGAAATAAATTCTAATTGGAAACATTCATTCAAAACTATTATATCACAATAATTAATTTTATAACTTTCTAGAAATACTAACAACTCATCAAAATTCTTTTTAATACTCCTAATATTGAAATGTAAGATATTTAGGAGTTTTTCATTTAAATTAATTTTATTTGTTATATTAGCATCATCAACGACTTCATTAATCGAATCAATTTGAATAGAATTTAATAGATTATTTTCTTGATTAATAATCATGAACTATTTGAATGTGTGTACACATATTAATTACGTTATGTTATTGATCTGTATACTCGGTTTTATTTTGCAATACCATTTGATGATATTTCAAAGAGGGACAAATCAAATCCAGTGCAGAATGGTTGTAGTCGTACTCAGTTTTATATTTTTCGTTAGAAGTTTTACAGTTCTTACAGTGTATTTTATTCTGTGGACACACTAGCTTCATGTTCTTCACTACAGATGTGGCACACGATTGCATTCTTACAGTTTTCTTTTTTATGGTAGAAACCTTGACATTCAAAACATCTGGGTATCTCCAAATCTTCATATACCGGAAGTCTTTCCCATCCTATACATATTTTTTTCCTTTGTATCAATTGTTTAAATGCAGTTCCTGACCATTCACAGTATACAGTATTGAAGCCTTTTTGCATTTTTCTGATATATGTGGTTTTTATTTCACCTGTTATGTCATTCTGTTCCACAATGGACTAGTCAATTTCTTCTATGGTCATATTCTCTGTAAAATTGCAGATTTTCATTCTGGGTCTTCTCATTTTTGTCAGATCTACATCATATGAATCTTTTAATTTATTTTGAACAGCTTTTTCCAGAATTTCAGCTTCTTTTTTTGTTTGACAGGAAAGTATAACATAACCATTCTTTCCCATCTTTAATTGTTTCACTCCAACTTTTAAGTCAGTTAGGTTAATGTTTTTGTTTTGTTTCCACTCTGTGATATTTTCGGTTTAATAATGATTTTTGGAGGATTAGGTTTTCGTTCATTGTCTTCTTTTTTACCATATTAGCATAAGAACTGGTAGGTACAATATTTATCTCTTTTTCTTCAAATTCTTTAATTTTTTCTTGAAGCATTTTTATTATTTCATTTTTACTATTTATTATTTCATCTTTACTTCTTATTATTTCATCCTTATCTTCATTAGTCTTCTTTAGAAAATTAGTCAGTTCATAATTCATACATTTTGCACAATTAAATTTCAGAATTTTAGTGCGTAGTGGTATACACCTAATTTCTGTGGTTGATAATTCAGAACATTGGTTGCAGTATAATCTTCTGCATCCATCACATGTAGAGCGTGGATATTTTTGTTCTTTTGTAGGCTGATGAATTATCTCACACTGTGAGCATTTCATTGTCATTTTTCTTATTAAATCATTTTCTTATTTTATAAACTAAATATGGGTACGCCACTCGATATTCTATTTGTATGATTGCTTAGTAGAAAGTATTGGTATTTATTTTATTTCACCTAAACTTTTTTGTCATCTGATAAGGTTTGGTACTTTTTTGCGTTTTTGTTTCCTTGGTAGATTTTATTTCGGTGAAATTGCAGAGATAATGCATTAATCTATGCAACTGTGACTCACCTAAACAGTTTATTTACTACACTATAGTACTGTCACATTTTATTTAATTCACTAGTTGTTGTTTTTTTTTTAACATTATATAGTTTATATCGGTAGAAATATAGATTTATTAGCGCAGTGAAACGAACACGTCTTCTCACCTTGAATGACTTGAGTTACTACATGAATTTCTTTAAATTTCAGACACACTGAAACCTTACAAGATAGCGCAAACGTAACTCAATCCGCTGAAGATATTCTTAGGGCTACTTTCGGCGAATTGAATCTCTCTTACGATGCATTTAGTTTTTTGAAGTACGTTGGCGTAAAAACATCCGGTGGTGAGACACATTTCGAAGACTTGAAAGTTACTTTGTTAGATAAATTAGAAAGCACCGAGGTTAGAACTAGGAGGGAAGCCAAGTACATTTATTTAACCCTAAAAGTAAGTTTTAAACAAACTAGTGTGCACATATTTTGAATAAGTTTCGTTTTTAATTTAGAGCTTGAATGAAAAATTTCAAAATAAAATCTCAAATAACACTCCACAATTATATTTACCGGCGTTTTTTACTTGTACGGACAAATGCCAGTCTTGTAAAAGCAGTTGTAATCTGTCGATGGGTCACAAGGAGGAAGGCGAAGCTCACCAAAGCGTCCAAGATTGCTTGTTTCAACACCAATACCAGAATTTTGTATACTTATGTAAAGTAAGTCATTTTATTTTACTCCTGCATTGTATTATTAATAAATTTTTTATCAGGCATGTTATAAAAATGGTCGAAGAACTGTTGTAAAACCGAGGTCAATGACTGACAACTCTTGGTCGAGTTATTTCAACTACGTCTGGTCTGGCTTTGTTATAGATTGTCCAAAGTGTGGTGAAATTTATAGAAGTAGACAGCACTGGTATGGAAACAAAAATCCCGAAGAGAGTGCAGTATTAATGGAAGTAGTTCATATTTGGCCAGGGGTGAGCTATTTGTCATTTTCTCGTGGCCTATAAAGATTCTACGATCTTAGTAACTGGTTGTCTAGCGTCAAATAAATCCGAGATTTGTCCAGGAATTTTGCGAGATCGATAAATGTCCAGAAAACTCGATTATTTATCCGAAAACAGAGTACATATAAATTCTTTGGATATTCTCAAATACATTGTTCAAAATTACCCCTATGAAATAGTGAAAATTATTTTTTGAACCGTCCAAGGTGAAAAAAAATTATTGAATAATTCAAATGTGTGAGGCATGTTTAAGATTCTGGATCCTAAATCATTTATAAAAAGTGTAAGCAATAAAGGATCTAGGTTTATACTTTGTGGTACCTCAGAATTAAATATAATGGTATATTATATACTGAGCAAGGAACTACTGTTACAGCCAAGCGTCAAGGTTGCTATACATGTGAGGCTAGAATAAGTTCCCCTGTGGTATATAAACGATTTTACTTACAATCTACTAAGTATTTATTTCCTTTAATTTTACATAAAGTTTAAAATAATAATATTGCTATTAATTTCTATCATAATTTTCTTTAAGGAAGGTACCTGTAAGACCGTTGCTAGGTAATATAACAAGTTGATTGGATCTAAAAGTAATTATTTAGCCAGTTACATATTGAACAACACTTTAAATAATAAAATTGTTTTTATATAATTGCAAACATGTCCAACAGTTAACTTGAATGGACCCTACCAGAACCGCGAGTAGCTGCAAAAACAGCTACCTAAGGCGTGATTCTGGAAAAAAGCAGAGGGAGATACAAAAACATTTTCGAAACATACAGTATGTTAAGTTTCTCACAAATACCCTAGAAGAACGGTGTAGAATAAGCGATGTTCTTGATTAGAAAGAAGTAGAACAGTGCGCGCCAGCCCACTAGAGGTATATCCATCTGTCTAATCACGGCAAGCTATCTAGTGATTCACAATGGCATTTATTACGTGCAAAAAATCAAGCGTCTCTCATCTTTTTTTGAAGGATCAAGGGTTAACATATTAAATAATAAGTGACATAGGGGTCTATTCTGTAAAAATTCCTTTATATTTTACGGCCTTTAAAAATATTGGCGACCTTTAAAAGTATATTTGTATTCGTTAATTTACTTCTGTCATTATTTAAACAGATTTCTTTAAGATAGTCCTTTAATGTATTTTAAAGATCCGTTTAAATAATGACAGAAGTAAAGAAGAAAATATTTTTAAAGGCCGTTAAATATAAAGGAATTGTTACAGAATAGACCCCATTAGCGGCTAAGGAAGTGACACATGCTATCCGGGAAAGTGAAATAATAATAATAAAACGTCTTTATTAAAATTTTTGAAAATTACAAAAATACAATGTAAGGGCGAGATTTAGCCTACAGCTATTCTTTCATCTAACCCTTTTAGTAACAGGATCGATAAATAATATTAAAAACAGAAAACTATAATATACTATAATAAAAATTTAAAAAAAACACTTAACTAAACTGTTCATGCAAAATAAATAATAATTGAATTATTATTAAACTAAATTAAAAATTACATAATTTGTATACACAATTTAATTTGATCATCGTTGTTGATGAAGCAGGATATTTTTGAGCTTACGCTTGAAACCAGTATATGAATGGGTATTCTTTAAATCATTGTCTAGCTCATTGTGATATTTAACAGCACAGTATGAGAAACTGCGTTCAAAAATAGCATGTGTGTGGCGGGGCATTGTTAACGTGGATTGCTCGCGTACATTAATATTATGCCTTTGATTTCTCTAAATTAACCTACGAGAGAGAGATATATTGGACTTTGAGTGTGTATTATTTTGTGCACCAATTATAGCAAATGCTATTTATACAGATTACTGATATTTAGCCACCGAAGTTCTTTAAAGCTTTGGGAAATATGATCATATTTGCATAAACCAAATATGTATCGACAACATGTATTCTGAATTTTTTGAAGCCTTATAGATGTTATTGAATCTAGACAAGGATAAAAAATTATATCACAATAAGAAATTTTGCTAAGGATTAGAGTTTCACATAAGTATTTTTTCATATTCATTGAGAGCAAATCTTTATTAGCCTATAGAAGTTTGAGAGTTAGATAACATTGAGTGGACAAACTGTTGATATGTTCAATAAATTGAAGATTCTCATCCAGTAGTAAGCCCAGACTTCTGGCTACATGTACCATAGGAATTGTCTCATCGTCGAGTTTTATGGAAAAATTATTTTTAATATAAGATCGAGATTGGGCATTAGAAAATATGATTGATTTGGATTTAGATGGATTTAAATGCAGATTATGATCGAAAGAAAATGTTTTTATTCTACCTAGGTCTTTATTAACCGCTTTAGTTGCTACCTCTGCATTAATGGAATGAAATGAATGGTGTAGTTGGGTATCGTCACCAAAAAACTGGATTTTACATGTCACAGTTTGTTCACACAAGTCTGACGTATACAGAAGAAAGAGTAAGGGACCTAGGACGGAGCCCTGTGGTGCGCCTGATTTTATGGACTCAAATGCAGATGACTGATTATTTGTTTGAACTTTTTGTGAACGATTACTAAAATAAGATTTAATAAAATTAAGAGATTTGTCACTAAAACCATAGTAACTACATTTAGAGATTAATAGCAGATGGTTGAGGGTGTCAAATGGTTTACTATAGTCAAGCAACACAAGAGCTGAAGCTTGACTATCATCCAATTCAGTTATTATAGAATCGGTTAAGTGACATAGAGCTGTTGTCGTACTGTGTCCTTTCCTAAATCCTGATTGGTGTAAGGGCAATATTTTATTTGAAGTCAGAAATCTATAAATTTGTTTATACGCAATCTTCTCTAAAACTTTAGAGAGAACCGGAAGCGAACTTATAGGCCTCAAATCGTTGTATGATAGGGGGTTTTTTAGCCACTGGTACAACAACTGCTTTTTTCCACTGATCAGGAAAATAACTTTGTTCTAAACAACAGTTAATATTGTTCAAAACAACAGTTAATAATATGTGTAATATACGGTAAAATGACTGGCATACATAATTTAAGCATATCCAGAGAGATGTTATCTACTCCACTGGCATTCGATTTAACTTCAACAAATGTTTTCAGAACAGCATCCACGTCTACAAGACTAAATGTAAAATTATTGTTATTAATATATTTATGAGTACGGTAATAAGCCGTTTTTTTCACTATACTGGACATTGCTGTTTTGGTAAACCGCTACAAACGCTTCATTTATCTTGAAGGGTCCAATAACTCGTGAGGTATGTCATTGTTTTTTGAAACTTGCATATTCATTGTTTTTAAAGTTTTAAAGAATTATTAGTAGGTAAATAGTCGCTTCCTGACTGTTTCGAAGGATTTAAATTCACAAATTACTAAACTGATTGTGAGTAAAACCGATTATATAAATAGTTTTTAACAAAGTAGCAAAACCTACAGAGAGTCCATAGTTTAACAGTTTTTGTAATAATGTCTTATGATAGAATCACGAATAGATTAATTGGTTATCCTGCTATTTTAGCTAAAATTAATTTAAACGTTCCCCGGTATAATAACAGACATCATTTAAGTTTTTACTGTATACTAAATAAACTTCAGTCCAGAAAGCAAGAAATAACCCTACCTATTTCACTGCAGAAACCCGAAGAAATAAATAAGTACTTTCTTTCTGTTTTTGATGATAATGAAGTAGATGATGACTTATTAGAATATTATAATAATTCAACACTACCTAATTTGCATGGAAACAAACTAGCAGGTGATTTTATAACTGTCAGAGAATTTAATAAACTACTCCATAATATCAAATCTAATGCCATGGGTTCTGATGCTGTGTGTCAATCTCCATGCTGAAGTACTGTAGTCCGCATATTGATAATTACATTACGCACCTTCTAAACTGTTGTATTCAAAGAAACTACTTTCCAACATCTTGGAAAATTGCAACAATTAGACCACTTTGTAAAGTTGCAAAACCTCAACATTTTTCTGATTTAAGGCCTATTAGTATTTTGACTGAGATGTCCAAAATTCTTAAAAAGGCTATCTATAATAGAATTTCCCTTTATATTGATGAAAACAAAATACTTCCAGATTACCAGGCTGGTTTCCAAAGTGGTTACAATACATCTGTTACACTTTGTCAAGTTACTGATGATATTGTAAGACATAGACAGAAGACAAATTACAGGACTTGTTAATTTGGACTATTTCAAAGCATTTGATACTATTAATCACAATCTACTTTATTTCAAACTAAAATATTTTGGCTTTTCAGAAAATTCTATTTGTCTAACTGTAGTCAAAAAGTTAATTTCTTGTATAATGTCATAAAAGGAAATAAACCAAAAATTATTTTGGGTAAGTCAGTTGTGAGAACAGCACGGCACTCTCTAATTGTCCACTCTAGAAATCTTTTTCACATTCCTCATCACAATTCAGCCATGTTTCAGAAATCCTTTACCTACCAATCTGTTAAAATTTTTTATGAATACTTAATGAAGCAAATACATCATCCACAACATATTTTCAAAAAAAAAAAAATTAAAAAATAATCTACTCTTACAGCAAGTTTTAATTCTTTAAACTTTACTTTTCAACTATTTTTAAATTAATACATTGTATTATATTTTGTTTCTATTTTTTTTTTTTTTTTTTTTATATTTCGAACTTGATGATTATTATTATTTAGAAATTTAATTAATGATAAAATCAGTTAAAATCTAATTTTCTTTATTATTTTATTAAAAGCATTATGCTTCTTTTTATATTGTACTTTTAGGATAAGTGTAAGAATAGCTTGTAACTAAACTGCGTCTCTTTGTACAATTTATTAATAAATACGATTTTTTATTATTATTAGATCTAGAACATTTTATTAAGGCTGGTTTGGTCCAATCGTCATATTTTAGTCTAAATAACCTGCGTATTTAGAATATCCAAAGAATTTATATTTTGAGAATTGATTGGATTTACACCTGAATATCCCGTTGGTTCAGAATTATAAGGTTCTATGTTACAATTTTATCACTACAAATATGATTAATTATTAATTAAAAAACATATTAAAACTTCTACATTCTTGCATATTTGTAAGAATAATCTCCTAATTGTAGGTCTCCTAATACAATTTGTTGATATACAAAACTTTAAAGACGTATTTGTCAAAACTGTTTCACTGTAACCTAGAATAGTATGAGAGCCCACTGCAAATTTCGACCGTCATCTGATAACGAAATGAAATATGCTCCAATAGCATGTAACAACATTGTACTTTATCAAATTGCACCTGTGCCAATCCCTATCCTGAGCAAAGTGGTTAAAAAAAAATATTTTATATTCTTAAAATTAAATAAAACATGACAGCGACAATTATGTTTTCCCTGAAAATTACAATCCTAATTCATTGCGGATCTCGCTTTTAAACCTGAATTATTAATATTTTAACCTACCTTTTAAACCATGTTTATGTATGAAAGGAAGAAGGATGGTATTGTATAAACCATTTGCAGATATAGTCAATAATATTTATAAACTATTGTTAGACAATTATTTTAAACCATAATCATAGTAGTTTTTTTGTCGTTTCTATGGCAACCTGTAAAAATGAATCACAACAATAGGAATACAAATAAATTTTTAAATCAGCAACATTGATTCATATTTTTAATGATATTTACCTACTAATCGTGGATAGATATTTTTGTGCGATGTTAAGAGGAAGAAAATATTTCCCTTTAACGATATATATCAAGATATATTTGAATGTTATTTTCTGGAAAACTTTAAGGGCAAACGAAATTAGAGCTGTCATGCCTTATGTGATTTTTTTAATATAAAATATTTTTTTTAAGCTACTTTGCTCAGGATAGGGATTGGCACAGGTGCCATTTGGTAAAGTACAATGTTTTTCCATGCTTTTGGGGTATATTTCATTTCGTTATCAGATGACGGTAAAAATTTGCAGTGGGCTCTTGGGCTAGAACCTTATAATTCTGAACCAGCGATCTGGTAATTCACGTCTATCCATTAAAAAAATGCTTCAATGTTTTTTTTTTGTTATATAAAGATTAGTCGCTAGACACCCTTCAATTTCTTGTCAAGGTTATTTCTTACTTTATTTGGCTTTTACTCCAATTAAAGTTGTTTGCTTAATTTAAACCATCCCGGTTTAATGTGTGTGCATGCAAATAAAAAGTATCGTCTTTATGGGCATTCTCAGCTATTCAAAAACGTTTGCACAGCATATTATGTTTTAAAATAGGACAAAATGTATTTTCAGGAGCGGTCTCTGTTTGGGTCACAGAATTCCGCCCAGAAGGTCCTAGACGGCGTCACCATGTTCACTGATGTCATTTCTACAGTCGGTTATCAGCCGAAAAAAATGATAAGCGATTGGGCAGCTGATAAAATAGCTCCAAGTTATTGGAGGCCTAATAATGAGATTAAGGTAGGTGCTGGATTCCAAATTATTTTTGCTATACTGCGGGACACAGTTAAAATTCAGTATTTGTATTACAGTGTACTGAGTTTGGCTGCTTATATCGGATTTCTGGGTTTAAATCTTTAGTTGTACACAATAATCTGGCAGATCACTATCCTTTGCTGTGTAATATTGGATTTCATAATGACAGCTGTTTTACTAAAGCAACTCGTTATACAGAAATATAAAAAAATAATGAAACACTATAATAGAACCCCACAATTGTAGATGGTGACTCATGTTGTAAATAAATTTTATAGGCCAATCAAATTAGACGTTTTGCAAAATTTATTTAATCTCTTACAAATTTACAAAAACCTTCTCTTCTTCTTCTTATTCTACTAAAACCTTTTTCTTCTACTCACTCTTCAAAGACTATACGTGCAGATAGTTTCAAAAAAATTGAGAAGATCGCTATCTTTATAAATTTTTTGAATAACTAATTTTGTTGAAATAATTTAAATAATTTGACTGGTCTATTTTTAAACTGTTCAAACGTCTTCCAAGCGATTAAAAGTCGAGGTAAAATGGAATGTTGTCAGCGAGTAGTTTGCATCTTTATCTAACGGTAGGTAATGTCCGAGATCCACACTGTCTTCGCAGATTAAAGCGACGTTATTGGCAACAACGCCTTTGAATCTTTCTTGGATGTCATCGTCGAAGCAGTGTCATAGGAGCTCTGATAGGGATTTCATAAAGCAGAGACCGGAAGAGAGGTTAAGTATAACCTGATCTCTCTAATATTAGTGAAAGGCTCTTTTACGTTTATAAACGAGGGATGAAACAAACGATATTAATACTTCGCAGACTGAGACTAGGGAAAAGTAAAATAAAATTGGAAGATAAAACCAAACAAGTCATTCATCGTGCAGTACATGCATTTTATATTAAAAAAGAATTGCTAACTGTAAAGAAAATTGCTTCCTCTCTTCAATCTAATGAAAATCTTCCAAAAATATCAAGACGTACCTACTTTATTACGTACTTTGCGTGAAATGAACTTCAGGTATTTAAAGAGAAAGAGGAATAGTACCCTTATTGAAAAAGAGGAAATCATTTTATGGCGCAGAAAATATCTGAAAATAGCAGAGTTTCGAAGAGGTGGCAGAAAAATATATTATACAGATGAAAATGAATTGTGTTTGGCAAAATACATGATGGAGCCAACTTAAGTTGAATAGTCGGTTTATCGGCTTCAATAAAATCAAGGCTGTCTTTGTAAAACAAATGATGATATTTGACGTTGCTGAGAAGTCGATTTTGACGTTTTAATTAACTTTCGTACATTGGTGTTGTTGTTAACACCTAAAAATCTGATGTGTCCAACACATCGATATCGCAAACAACTTTTATTTCAAAAATTTTCATAAAAATCAGAATTTTGCACATTTTGTCAAATTTCTCGAATACGGACCATTTCAGGAAATTTTTACGTAACACAAAAATTATAGATAATAATATTAGAAGTAACTTTTATTTGAACAATTTTTTTTCTCCAAACACTAATAACAGATATATTCCATAAAATATAAAAGTGGCCTCCCATAAAGTACCCCCCTAGATGTTCCGACTATGTCCAAAATCTAATCATTGGACGCTAAAACAAAGCTTAAGTTTAAAATTTGGTGTTTTTCTGTGTATCGGTTCATGAGTTATGCGTTATACAGACACACACACACAGACATCATCGCGAAAATAGTCAAAACGGATTCAGGGGACCTCAAAACGTAAAAATCCGTCGAAAACTCGAGGTCGAAAAAAATCATGATTCCTATACTTTCCTTATATCTGTATACAGATAGGAAAGTAAAAATACATTATGTTGTCTTTACTGAATTTTAGCTGTTGCATTAACTATCCTAGAATTTATTAGGATGATCCTTTTTTTTGTACAATTTATAACAAACTTATTTCATTTTTAAGGAATGCTTTAAATGTAAAACCACCTTCATCCCGCCAGCCAAGAAACACCATTGCCGTTCGTGCGGTGAAGGCTTTTGCGAAGGATGTTCCTCGAAACGTCAACCAGTCCCTTCTAGGGGGTGGTTCGAGGATGTACGAGTATGTGACAATTGTTATACCGAGCAGCCTCCGACGTTGTCGAATCCTGGCGATACGGCGGAAAATAGGGCACGACAAATCGGCGAAAGTGTTATTAACTCGATCTCCGTGGTTAAATCCGTATTAGACATACCTGTGGAATATATAAAGGAATCCGCGAGGCCGACCTATTGGACACCTGATAACGAATGTATACATTGCTGGGTGAGTACATTTTTTGTTTATCGGTTGGCAACTTTGTGATTTTATATTAGCTCTATCATTGTATAAAGAACTACTAGAGGTATAACCTTATATAATTATTGTATCGAATTGTATACAGCTAATGGATGGCGACATTATATTTGGATACAGTTCGAAAATCGATTATTTTAAACTGGGTTTCGATTTTTGATGGGATGGGTGAGTTAATCTTCAAAATATTCTTTCAACGACCATACCGTTGGATCGAGATTTAGCCATAGGCTATTCTTACATCTAACCCCTCTTAATTTAGAACATAGAAAGTTTTAAGATAAATTAAAATGTTAAGCCGGGTCCAGATCAATAAATATTTACGTTGTGCGTTGTATTTGACGCAAATTTGCTCGTGTTCGTCAAAATATTTCTAGATGTGAACTGTGCGCCGCACAAAGAAACACGCAAATATTTGCGCCAGATTCAACGCACGCTATTCACCGGTCTGTCGGTTTTTCAGCCAACTTCAAAGAGATTTGCGTCGAACGACCCTCGAGTGCTTGTTTTAATGTGGACTTGAATATTTTTTTTTTAGTTTCTATTATTATTTCAATCACAAATTATTGCTACGCACGACACACGAAATTGGATCGCAATAAATACACCAATACAACGCACATATTTGCGAGACAAAATCACAGTAAAAAAAATATTTGCGCGGCAAATATTTTTGTCGAATTCAACACACAACATTCAACACAAAAATTTATAGATCTGGACCCGGCTTTAAAATACAATACACAAATAAAGTTAAAACGGTAGAAAACATGTAAAAACAATAATAAAAGTAGTAAAATTAAAATAAATTTAAATTTTAAATATAGGAAAACACTTATTAATAATTGTTGGCTTGATGTTGGAGTAGGAGTTTTTTTAGTTGTTTTTTAAAACTTGATCGAGAATAAGTATTTTTTAGATCATTGTCTACATTATAAAGTTGAATGGCATTGTATGTAAAACTTCTAACAAAAACAGCAGATTTGTGCGTGTTAGAGTAAATTGTCTGTGGATATTTACATTGTGAATCTGATTACGAGAAATTAATTTAGTTGACAAATATGGTGGATGTAAATAAGCACTATTTTAATAAGAAATCATTGTTCATTGCTATGCTCTCTGGTTTCGTGACTCTCATTCAGTTCAGCTAATATCCCACCACCATATCTTCTAATTCGAGTCGACGACTGGCTGCCATTTTATTAACTTATATACTAGTCGTATACCTAACACAAAAAATAAGTACTATATATAAAATGTTTGAATCAGTCCTTTCCAAGCTACCAACATTTTGCGCAGGGGTTCTTGACCTGGGACCTCTTTCATATTTTACTAAATTTATGTTTTATAAAAGAGAAATTTGATGAATTATAAAGTAAAATATGAAAATTAAAAATGAAAAATTAATAATCTACAGAGTTGACGATGTTATTTTATGAAACACAAATGAAGACACAAGTGGATGAAGGGCCTATATAGCAAAATATAGTTTTTACGAGATATTTCGTGTTAAAAAGTTTATTGTTTGGCAGTTATTCCCTAGTACATGGGTCCTTTATCCACTGGCAACTTCTATATTTGATGATAGATATATTGTCACGGAAGACATTTTAAACGATTTTTAGTTACATAAGCCCTTCATTCACAGAAAAACACCGTTTAAAAAACATGTTGCATAAGCCCTTCATCCACTTCTGTCTTCAAATATTTTGTACTCGTAAAGTGTAAAGTGAAAAGTTGCAAAATAGTTTTATGAAATAGGCCCTAGGTATACCAAATTGGAATCTCAGTGACTGTAAGATATGGTTAGTTAAATGAGAGAAGTTTTATATAAACAGATTCTTAGTTTAGATCCACCTTTAAATTTTTTACATTTTTGCTAGATGAGTAATTTTGAGAAATGCCAAAAAAATAATTTTTCTTTTTATTTTATAGTGTTATTTGTGGAGATATCAAAAAACTAAAAGGACTTCTTTGTATGCACATTTTCTCTTCTACAATGCCGTATAATTTGTTTTTGATTACGACGTTTCTTTTTTTTTTTTTTTTTTTCATCAACCTTTTTTTAATACGGTCCTGATGATTTTTATACCGATTTCAATAGGAAAAATATTCTATTTACAATTATGTGCCATACTTTATCATTTTAAGACGTTTCGATCCTAAAAAATCATCATCGATTTTAAATCTAGACCTGCATTTTTTTTAAATATCTACATTTATAATTATCAAAAAAATAATTTGAACAACACATAAACAAAACACTAATAACTCTTCTTGAATTTTTTTTATATACACTCCGCACAAAAATTAACCCATCATTTCAATTTTCTTACAAAACGTAAAATTTTTGCAATTTTTTTTTTAAAGTTTGGTGAAAAGAACTATTTGTATGCAATAATGACAAAAAATAAAACTTAAGAAGGAACCAAATAAATTCATTCGATTTTTTTACAAATTTAAAAAAGTAATTTGGGTGCAATCGATAAATAAAACAAAATTAATACCTTGTATTACCACCCAGTGCTCTAAGTACTGCCAGACATCGACGTGGCATACTTCAAATCAGGCTTTGCATCAATTGTTCCGGCAAATTGTCCCATTCCTCGGTTAGAGCATTTTGAAGTTGATTTAAGGTGTTAAGAACAATTGATCGATTTCGTACTTGTGATAAATTGTCCCAGACATGCTCTATTGGATTTAAATCAGGACTTTGAGCTGGCCAATCCAATGTGGGAATACCAACTTCGTTAAGGTACTGACGAACAATTAAAGCTGTGTGCGGGCGAGCGTTGTCTTGCATAAAAACAAAATTGTCACCAATGAATAGACCGTAAGGTACAACATAGGGTTCAAGAATGTCCGTTGCATATCTTGCAGCTGTTAAATTTCCTCCCACAACTGGTACTAACTCTGTTTCCTCCCCACATCATAACAGCCACCACCAAAAGGTTCCGATTCTCTGATGTTACACTGAAAGTATCGTTCGCCATCACGCCTGTAGACTGGAATTCGTCGATCAGGTGAAAACAGGCTGAATCTAGATTCATCAGAAAACAGAACATTGGACCAATCATCTATATCCCAATTCACATGATTTCTGACAAACTCCAACCGTGCAACACGATGCTCCCTGGTAAGGCGTGGACACAAGACGGCCACCCCGGCTCTAATTCCTCCTTACCGAAGATGATCTTATTGTTTGCACAGAAATTCTTGTGTTGCGGGCAACGGCTAGTTCGTTTTGGAGCATTCGCGCTGTACAGTGTCTAGTTCGAAGAGCGGTTAATGTTAAAAATCGGGTGCCCGCTGCTGTGGTAACTCTTGGACGACCTTGATCAGGCCTTCTGTCGTATTGCCCTGTTTCTCTAAACCGGGTAGCTACCCTAGAAATTGTTGATTGTTGAACATCAAAAGCATTTGCAATGTAACGTTGACTACGTCCTTCTTCAAGTAATGTAATGATTCTAACCACTTCGCCATGTCCCAAATTTTTTCTCTGGCGATCAGGATTATTCGTTTCAATAATTTTCAAAAGTTGGTTGCAATTTCAAAGTATTAGTATTTATTTTACAAAAACCATTTACCCAAAAAAAAGCTCCTTTTTTGCATGTAAGTATCCAAAATTAATATACAGGTTGTCCTAATACTTAAATATCTTTTTGTCACTTTTGATAGTGACGCGCTAATTTTTGTGCAGAGTGTAAATATTTTTTTTTTTTTTTTCATTCTATGAAGTTGTGTCTGAGAGAGAGAGATAGAGAATGGCATTAGACTAAGTCTGTTTGTCACAAAATGAGAAATTATATACCTACACTTTTTCCCAAGCGCCCCAACAATTTTTTTTTTAGTATAAAAAAAGATGTAAGGTTAAGGTATTATTATCGTATTATATACATAAAAAGTAAAAAAATTGCATGATTTTTATTAAAAATATTGCTTGCCAACGTAATATAAAAATAGGTGTACTGAGTACTACATTATAAATACACATTAATAAATTTTATTGAATACAGATCATGGATGTGTTCATTTTCGTACCTTTTCCTCCAAATATAATTTTAACATATTGGTGAAAATCTGAGAATTTTGACAATATTGCGCCATAATTCATACTGTAAACTCTGGCAACACTGTTTGAAGCGTGTCGCTTGTCTTTTGTTTTATCGGTTAGGTCCAGAGATAATAGAGATATAACCATTCATTGATAAAATATAATATTCACGATGCCAAAATTAATTCGACATTCGATACACTTTATTTGTAGGGACGCGGCGAGGAGATGAAAGGTGAGATGTAAGAGAAGGGATAAAGGGAAGAATTTTACGCAGATACAACTTATTTTTATCAATAAATAAATGTGTAATCCGCTGTGCGCTTATAATAAACAACGTAAATATCCATGCCGGTGTAAGCTCTTTTGCCACTTCCAACCTAACATAACTAAATTTATTGAAAATTATTACATCTAATTTAGTGAAATTACATCTAATTTAGTTAAATTTAATATAACTAATGATTGAACATTTTTTGGGTTCAGTTGCAATAAAATAAGTTGAAATATTTTAGCTTTTTAATATATGTAAATAATTTTATAAACAAAACGAGAATAGTGAAAAAGGCATATGACAACAGCTGATATTATATCCTCCTGTGTCCCTTAGAATATGTCTTATTCAGGACCGCACGATATTTGTTAGTAGTTACATCTCCTCGTTATCTCTAGTTAGGTCCGATTGACTCAATCCTATGGAGCCAACTCGAGGTCGTCGAGTATTGAGAACCGATGACAGTCGAAGTAAATTGGTAATGACCTTCAAGATTTGTTAATTAATAAGGATTGCGACATTACGCAAATCTGTAGGCAAACGTGAACATTTTATGCGCTATTTTGACGTCTTGAGTTTAACGTATTATCTTGTTTTTTTTTGTTTTTTAGCAAATAATTGTATTCAGCTTATACTTTTTACAAATAAAACTAGAGTGAAGATATAAAATGCTTGGCATTCTATATTATACTCTTCACATTTTAAAAATTCTGATTGAAAATGGGGGTTAACCATTTTCATTCAGATTTTTCAATAGGCTTCATCCCCTTATAAAACTTGATTTTCCTGAAAATTTCTATTTGATATCGTTTTTACTTCCCTTTTATAGAGTGAAAAAGTCACCTTCCGAGATTATTTCAGATTTTCAGGATCCCTAGATTACGAAAAACATGTTTCCCCACTCCGTTGGTCTGTCTGTCGTCTGTTGGTGCGTTAGCTCAAAAACGGCTTTATAGAAAAACTTCAAATTTTGCATGCAGATAGAGTTCCTTTCTGTTATAAATAAAAATCATTTTTAAAAGTCGGCAGATTTCGACTAAAATTGGTATCTGAGAATTTTAGAAGTCAAAGATTAAATATCAAATAAGTTTTTAAAAATTAAAAATGGCGCTGAAAGGAATCGTTTTTAATCAAGAAAGGTCCTTCTTGAATGGAATTAATAAAAATCGTCCTTTTGGTTTGTGTAACTGGACCATTTTAAAAGCAGCCAATCATTATTTTTCAATAACGGTGATCGTGACGAAAAATACCGAGTGAACGCGAAGTGAGAATTCGGGTGGAATTCAAGGGGAAGATCGATGGAGAGAGAAATATGAAAAAAGGGCGTTTGGTGGTTTTAATTTTAAATTATCAAAATTTAAGTGCTCAGGAGTTCCCTGTTTTTACAATTTCTATATCGAGGGTAGTATTGAGAAAAATACTTTTGTTTCTAAGTAAGGATTTTTTTTTTTTTCGATATTTCAACCCCCAGTTCTTTTACACTATAAAAAAATTAAGAAAATTGCATTTTGACATTTCTCAAAATTACACAAAAACTAGCAAAAGGTGCGTCTAACTTAAGAATCTGTTTACGTAAAACTTCTCTCATTTAACCAACCCTATAAACTCTTACAATTACCAAGAAACAAGTAGATATTGCTTAAATTTGGGACACCCTGTATATATATATTAGAAAAGGCCAGTCTAAAACCTGTTGTAGACGAAAATAAAATCGTTACTTGAATAATTGTATTAATAAATGTAAGACTTGTTTGCCTCCAATAGCTTTTACTTTGCGAGTATCCTACTATAATTCTTTATACTAGTGATGGGACTTTTCATGAAAAGTAATTTTTAGATAAGTCCGACGGACATGTCCGGAAAAGTAATGAAAAGTCAAAACTAAAAGTAAAATTATTTTTAAAATACTATTAATAAGCTATGAAACGAAAATTTGAAAACATCGTTATAACATAAAATTTAGTAATCATTTTTCGTCTCCTCTTTTTGTAACTATATTTTGCCTTTATTTGTAAGAAATTCAGACAAATTAGTTAATTTAATTTCGCGCATGCTTAATACAGTTTTCCACTTTTGAAAAGTGTGTTTGGACTAGTCAACTTTTCAGGCTAGTCCGTCGGACTTGTCCGTGAACTTTTCCAAGCGACCCATCACTACTTTATACAATATCTTTATATATACAGGTCTCTTCTATACTTACTTTTTCTGTGTAGGTTTGCAAGAAACCTTTTGATGCGTTAAGGGCGTTACACCACTGCAGGGAATGCGGCAAAGGCGTTTGCAACGAATGCTCAGGCTCCAGAAAACCGGTGCCTCTCAGAGGATGGCCCAGTCCTGTCAGGGTATGCAATTATTGTCGATGATAGGTAAACGAGACATGAAAGAAGGCTGACGGTACCTGGTGGCCAATTGTAGAACTAAAACTCAAATTTAATTATGATATAAATGTTAAATATCATTTGTCAAATCCATTTTGTACCTGTGACATATATTTTATTCATATTCGTTGTTAATACAAGGAACTAAAGAAAACCGTTATTTGACATTTCTGTTTTCTAAAATCGAATTTATTGTTTTTCTGGTCGCAAAGGGGTACCATTTTAAGTTTGTCTCTGTAGAGGTGCCATCTACAATGGTTTAATAAACTGATTATGTTGGTAGAATGATTGTCGGGTGGGAAGGCATGATTTTAGTCTTTCTTAATATTAATAAAACAATCAAAACGTAATGAATAAAAATCTAAAGATTAATTAACTAGGTAATAAAATAAATTTAATGTAATGCACCTCGAATGCAAAAAAAGTTCATAATAAATCGCCATTAGCGGAGTTCGAGAAGTGGACTCCTTTTACTCTTATCTAAGTTCACGTCATATAATTACAATGATTTGGCATGGACTGACGTTAGAAATGGAAAATAGGCAAAGGAAATCACCTCGCGAACTCAACTCCAATATAGCGTTTCAAAATATAACGTATGTCAAATGAAAGCCAAATAATGGTGTTCCATGATGATGAAGCAAATTTTACTACAGTAAATTTACGTGTGTCCTTTTATTCAACTGTTGTAGCAATGTTGGGATAGGTGCAGTATCTTCTCGTCTATCAGTGATGAACTTTTTATTTAATGCTTACTGCAATTGATGCAATATCAGTTTCACTATATGATTTTTCCAATTAGATGTGACAACTGACAGCTGAATTGGGGAGTTAATTATTTATTTGTTCGATTATGATTATTGGAAAAATCAAAGACATTACAACTAAGAGACCAAATTGTTTACATTTTTATGTGGCAAATCATTATTCCCTCCAGATTCTCGTTTATTGCGTCTTTGCCGGTTTTATCAGTCTAAAAATTATTTGGAGAAATTGTAGGTAAAAGAACTTTTAAAACTAGCTTTTAAAAATCTAGGCAATCTAAGTATGGATTTAAAACGAATATTTAGGTTATGAACATCAGTTCTAAATGTTAATTTTTCATGCAAGTATGGAGGTGTCCCCTTATTAAATAATTTTTGACTACAAGCAAAATGTAAATTTCTTCTATTAACCATATTTAACCATTTAGTTTTTCTAAATTTAATAGAAATGTGATCATATTTACGAATTCCAAATATTAACCGTACACAAGAATTCTGCAATTTTTTAATTCGTCCAGACTCGAAAATGTTTAAACAAGGACCATATACAATATCACAATGATTAAAGTTTGATAAAACTAGTGAATCACATAACATTTTTTTTACATCTGGTGATAAAAAATATCGTTGCGCATATATTAGTTTCAAACTTGCATAAGACAATTTTAATTTTGATGTAATATGTTGTTCAAACTTCAATTTTGAATCTACAGTAAGTCCTAAGTTTTTACATTGCGTAACAATTGGGATAAACGCGTCATTAATTTTTAATAATGTCGCGGAGTTTACGGAATCCCTAATTGACTCATTACAAAAAATCATTGCTTTGGATTTTTTAGGATTAATTTTTAGTGAATCATTTTTAAATACATTAAAGATTTCATTTAAATCAGAATTAATATGCTGTATAAATTCATTTAAATTGGAGTACTTAAAAGAATAGTATAATTGGGTGTCATCAGCGTATAAATGATAATTGCAGTATTTAAGTATACTTGGAAATTGTGAGGTATAGAGAGTAAATAATAAAGGGCCCGAAATACTACCTTAAGGTACACCAGATGTAATCTCCAACGGTGTGGAAGACATATTATCTATTTGAACAATTTGTTTTCGCTGGTAAAGATATGATTTTAATAGAGACACGGATGTATTATTAAATATAAAAAACTTCAACATGCTTTCAACAAAGCTTTCGAGAAATCTAATAGTATTAAGATTGAAATCTTGTCCTTATCCATGGCTCTATTCAAATCATCTATAACATCCGCTAGAGCTGTGGCACAGCTGTAGCCTGACCTAAAACCAGATTGTTTGCTAGGTAATATATTGTTGTTTTTCAAAAACCCTCTCATTTGAATTTCCATTACTCTCTCTAATATTTTGAAAAAAAACTGGTAAAATACTAATTGATCTTAAATCACTGTATTCTTCAGGTAAAGTTACTTTTAGTAAGGGCAAAACTTTAGCGAATTTCCATGATTCAGGAAAATAACTATTTTTTAAGCATTCATTAATAATGTGTGTAATAATGGGTAATAGAAATGGACAACAAAAGTGTAAAATGATAATATTAATATCATCCATTCCGTAAGCTTTAGATTTGATATTGTAAATAATATTATTGACAACATCTTCGGAAACATCATTAAAATAAAAATTTTCAGTAATATTTTCTTTAAAATTGTTAAGGTAAAAATGTTGTAAATCTATTTGTATAGCAGAGTTATTAATGTTTGAAGTAAAAAATTTGTTAATGGCATTAACATCTTTTAGGTTTGAAGGTAGGTCAATTTTTTTTGTCTCGATATATTGAGTTTTTTTAATTCTGACCATTTTTCCTTAATATTACAAGTTTGAAATTTAAAATTTAAGTAAGCCCTTTTTTCTGCTTTTATAGCTGTTGTTGTGTAGTTTCTTAATTGTTTATAGTAATCCCAATGCGTTGGAAGTTGTGTTCTGCGAAATCTCTAAGCCTTTGCATATAAATAATATTTTCAGTAATCCAAAGAGAATGTTTAATTAGTTTTCTAGTTTTTTATTTTTTTGGAGCATGTATATCTAAAACTGTAATTATGTAGCTATTTAAATGATTTTGAAAATGTGCATGATTAATCTTTGTAAGTGAACTATATTCTACTTTAAAGTCGTTTTGAGGTACATTATAAAAATTTTTAAATTTGCAGTTTATTGCTGAATGATCCGCAACTAGATTATGATTAACAAATTCTGCACAGAAATTGATATTAATATTAGTGTAGTTACCGTAACCAGCCGCAACGTTGCCAATTGGGTCTAACAGCTATTTTGTGTTTCTGACAGTTTCTATGTGACATTGATTTATTCATTTATAAAATACTATTTTTGTGAACTTTTGTGAGAAATATAAAGAATTATGGTACATGCATGTGTGTAGTCCATTTAAAATAACGGTAAAAGGTCGAGAAACGCCGCACTTGACGAGACCACTTGTCCCCTACGTATTTTGGGGCGCTGATTACGAAAATGAGTGTTAAAACTGGCAGCAGTGGTTGGAATACCCCTAAAATTGCAAAAAACACCCATAAATAGGGATGTTTTTAGACTATACTTGTTTTGCAAACTCATCTCATATGTTTTTTGGGGCGCTGATTACGAAAATCGGGGTTAAAACTTGCAGCAATGGTTGAACCACCCCTAAAATCCACCGTTTGGGAGGAGTGTTTCTGGCATGTGTCACACAAATTTTCCAGTCTCGACACCCCGATTTTCGAAATCGGCGACCCAAAAAACATATGAGATGAGTTTGCAAAACAACAAGTACAGTCGAAAAACACCCCTAATTAGGGGTGTTTTTTGCAATTTTAGGGGTGGTTCAACCATTGCTGCAAGTTTTAACCCCGATTTTCGTAATCGGCGCCCCAAAAAACATATGAGATGAGTTTGCAAAACAAGTATAGTCTAAAAACATCCCTATTTATGGGTGTTTTTTGCAATTTTAGGGGTATTCCAACCATTGTTGGCAGTTTTAACCCTCATGTTCGTAATCAGCGCCCCAAAATACGTAGGGGACAAGTGGTCTCCTCAAGTGCGGCGTTTCTCGACCTTTTACCGTTATTTTAAATGGACTATAAGGTAGATCATTTAAATCGAAATTTATTCTTTCATCGGTAAGTATTTTTAGGTTAAGATATGTTGTTTTCATTTGAACCAGTGGAGTAGGGCACCCGTCTTAAGACTGTTTTGACTATACAATTTCTTGTACAAAATTTGATACAATTTCTTATAGAATTTAAATTGTATAGGATCACATAGTAAATTGTTTGAAAAATGATTATCCAATATAATTTTTCAGACAATTTACTGCAGGTTTGATAATATACAATTTAAATTGTACAAGAAATTGTATCAAAACCTTGTGTAGTCTAAAACAGTCTTAAAACAGTTTTTAATATTCTATTTAGGTTTCCGAAAGATCCTGAGAAAAGAAAACTTTGGTTTTCTCTAGTAGGGATCCTTGAAAATCAGCCCCTTCGTAAAAACCCAGAGTTTTGATACGTGAAAATAGTACTAAATATATCAGAAAAGATACTAAAAGAATATACCTACTTATTTACATATTTTTTTTAACATACTACTCTTATAATACTTGTAAGTTTAAAACTCTACGCCACTGTCGAGCATATTATGGACACTGTTTACAACGTTGCCAGCCGGTCCTAAGAGATCTGTTTTTCTCTCTTCCACTCACTAACAATTTTAAAACAATAACAGTCCACAATTGTATCGGATTTATGAATGAAACATTTTGTCTCTATGTTGTAATGTCTTTGGAAAAAATAGACTTTTAGAATAAAACGTACTTTTAAATTAAGGTACATACATTAAAGTAAAATTATAAACACAAATTTTAATTAACACACCTGGACAGGGATTCTTATGTGCGTACATAACATGTAATGAATTGAATAGGGAGAGACATTACATACAAATCGCATTCTGCGGAACGAAGATAGTTGTCTCAACACGTGCAATTTTGAAAGATGAGAATCCCAATGCAGATCTGTCAACTGTTTGGTTAGTGCCAACAAAAGTTCAGAACCGGTCAGAACTTGACTGAGTTTGTATGAAAGCTATTTAGAAAATTCAGACTTGATAGTGTAGTGTTCCAACAATGAATGGTGTTCCAAATTGATTACGAATCGTTCGTAAAGATCTAGGATTTAACAAGAACTTTAAATTCTAAATCAGTTTAACATATTTAACCTCACTTTATTTTGATTATATTTTTATATAAAGAATTAATAATCGAAGAAGCGATTTTTCTGATTTGGCACGGTTAACAAACGAAATTGATGAACATAGAGAATTTTTGAACAATATTGTTAAAATATGACAACAATAAAAATTACTTAGAGAAATTATAGCTTAAACAGAAAAATCTAGAATAAAACAACTGAAACTAGTTAAATACCATTCAAAATACGTAGTTCTGCTTAAAAAATACTAGAAAACGTGTTTAAGTGCCTGAATGTAGTTTTTTACATTCTGCATTTAGTAGAAATATAATAAAAATCCTAATGTTTTCTAATATTGTTTTTATTTTATAAGTTAGAATAAACAAAGTTATCAATCGGTACTAAATCATTCCAACGTTAGTAAAATCAATTCTAGAACTATAAGTTCGCGATTGTATTCTAAATAAAATGAATCAAACACAAGACGTATAACGTCGCACGGGTAAAACAGCAATTCCAACAACAAAAAGGACACACGGTTTGATTTAAAACTATTTTGTTATTAATTCCGAAAGATTTTGCAAAAGTTTGGCATGCCATGAAGAATTAAAAAAAAAAAAAAAAAAATGCGGCCTTCCCGCTCTCTTTGTACGGATTGCAATATTCTAGTTGAGATTTTATAATTTATACTTTTTTAAAAAGTTATTGATTTATCACTATGTTAACTATTTTAATAAATTTGTAAAATATACAAGTTGCTTTTAAGAATATTTTGTTATGCTCAATTTTGTATTTTAATTCTAATAAATGCATTGAAACTATAAGGTAATAAAATTAAAGATTGCGTTTTATTTTATACAATCACAATTTAATGAAGGACACGATACATGTAGTACATTTTTTCTAGGTCATTGTAATCACTTGTGGTTAATAATTACAAAAAGTGTTTGGTAATGAAACTTAGAAATTTTATGTGTAACTGTTAACAGAGAATACTTACTGTTGGTGACAGGATTTGAAGATCTTTGGGAGATTTCAAGTTATACAGGGTGTTTTTGAAATACATTAAAAATTTCCCACCCACTAAGACACACAGAGACGTCAGAAAAATCCATTAAAACTAGTATAAGAAGCCAGACCCAAATTCAAGCAATTACTTTATTATCTGTAATCAGTTATATAGTCTATACCTTTCCTAAAACGAGCTACTTAAACGACGTCTATCCTACAATACCTCCTATTTCCGAAGGTGTCAATGTCTCGACGCTCAACGTCCTGCTGTCCTACTTTTCTACACTATCTCTTCTAACACCACTTTAGTATTTCCTACCATTATATTCATCTCGACGCTCAACGTCCAGACGCCTTACTTTCCTACCTATCTACGTCTCGAACGCTGTGACATTCCGCACAATCTAAGTATTTCCTACCTTGCATTCATTCCGACGCCCAACGTCTCATCGCTCTACTTCTCGAAGCTTGCCGCCCCTAAATATTTCCTTCATAATATCCTTGTCGACACCCTTCGTCACGTCCCGCACCACCTAAATATTTCTACCGTATATCTGTCCCAATGCAGTACCGTATTACCTTCTCCATCAAGACGCTAGGCGCCTCGACGCAAGGCGACGCTCAACGCTGCGACTTACCTAAATCGGCCCCGTCACAACGCTAGATGAATTAAGTACATAATCTAATGTCTGTATTTTCAATGGTGAGTCAAAAGATTTATGTAACTTTCTTTGAGATACCACCGGGTTCGTTTAGACGAGGGCTCGACATTTTCTTCAAAAAATATCAATGTAACCAATAAACCATATGGCCTTCAGTCGTTCACCCCGAAAGACAGGTTATCCATCTGTTTTTCAGGTGAAATTAAGTTAATTCAATAGAAATTATGAAAATCAATATTAAGAAATATACAGGGTTGAATTGTAAGTTAATTCAATAGAAATGATAAAAATCAATATTAAGAAATATATAGGGTTGTATTAAGTTATTTCAATAGAAATTATAATAATATTAAAAAATATACACGGTTCTATTAAGTCATTTCAATAGAAAGTATAAATATCAATATTGTAGAAATATACAGGGAAGTGTTATCTTGGATAAATTGTACAAACCAAGATGGTAAAATTTAATAGTAAGTTAACCAACTAATTAAGTGCAGAATAATGCGTCGGGTTACTGCCAAAACAAGATAAATATATGTCTAACATTAAAACTGTCTAAACTGTATACTGACAGAACCAGATAATTGTGCTAAACGAGGTATACGTTCATACGCATGTGCACATAAAAGACTAAGTGCATTACAAGAACCATAATGGCAGCTAAAATAAGATAAGTGCATTTATGTTAGGTTTAAAAATTATTTTAATTCTCGAAATTTAGATTCAACTAAAATAGCTGACTATTATCAAGGTCTTGGTATATTATCCTTGTGAATTTCATGCCAAAATTATTGACATTCGTTTTTGGACATCATATATTTCCAAAAAAAACACCCTGAATTTTAATAAAAAACAAAAACGTTTATCAAAAATCATCCATATATTAAAAACAGCACATTTTTCTTTTTAAGTACATTCACAACTTTCCTTTATATACATATACCGAGTATTCAGTAAATCAATTACAAAAATATAACTAGGTTCTACTAAGGAATAAAATTAACTGCCATAGTTACAATTACATACCATAATAAGTTAATACTGCAAGTTAAAATAAATAATTCTTACGGCTAATGGCAAATTTTTTTAGTCTTCAGTGTTTTTAAAAGTACAGTTAAAAGAGAACTTAGTACCTGTCGATTGTCGAGAAATTTGTAAATTAAAAATCAGATAATATTCGAATATTTGTAGCGAAAAGTCACTTCCAAATATTCATGCTTGGGATAGAGAATAAGATTATTTCATACACACGGTAATGAGTAAGAGACACAATGATACTTTGCTAGAAAATGCTTATACCCTGGATATTTGGTAGTTTCTTTCCTTAAAAAAAAAACTACAAAACTAAGGAATCCATTCTCACAACTTCAGGAGAAAACAAATGAAAGAAAAATTGAAAGAGTCCTAAAAACATAGGAATCAAACTTGGATTGTCGGGTTTACACCTCACCCGAACTTATAGCTATAATAACCAAATTGGCAACTTAGAAAAGAAAGATGTATTCTAATGCGTGGCATCTTTTATACCGATGCTGCATAGAGGCTCCAAGCTCCAATGTATTTAAATTGTCAAATTTTCATTAAAGCTATCAGCTCCGGTGGTCTAATTGGTAAAGCAGTAAGTCGTAAACTCGAGGTAACAGGTTCAATTCCTGACTGGGGCACGTTATTTCAAATTTTTATTGGCTTTGTGAGGCTAGATTTCCTAGTTTTCGTAGGGGTAATTGTGATGTTCATTTTCAGATTTTCAATTTATTTCCTTTTTTTAGTTTGATGTTTGAAATGAATAACCGTTGACTATGAATCGAGGGGTTCCCGAAATTCTGGTACGTTTTTCACTCGAAATCACTACAAATTCTGTCGAAATATGCGAAATCATCACCGAAAATCATTGTCGAAATCATCCTGAAATACTTCGAAATCAAATTGTCGGTGGAATCACTGAAATTATACGAATTTTAGCTGCTTTTATATGCTCCCTTAGTTTTATACAATTTTGGTAAAATCATTGTATATTTTCTATGGGTTCCCTATAAATTGAAGAGGTGAATGGCAGAAGGTGTTATCTAACAAAATTAGTATTCTGAGAAAACAGTTCACAAAGTTTCAAATATTGCATGTGAATTTACTGTTTTATTATCAAATATTTAGATACATAATTGTAGTTTTTTTATCCTTTAATAGGATTTGTGTAGGTTTAAAAGGTCTGTATTTATCAACGTTAAAAGGTAGATAACACCTTTTCCTGTAAATAAAGGATTTCCAAATTTGACCTTCGGATTTAATTTAATAATAAAACACAAAAAGTCCTTGAAATAATATAATAATATTATATTATTTTGAAGTTTAAATGTTACGATTAATAATAAAAAATGATATCCGGCATGTGTCCCCTCTGCTTCTTTAGCATGCTAACATTCTTTTTACAAAATTTTCAAGAACATTTTCGCAAACACTCTGTTCAATTTCTTCATTTTTTTGAATAATGTTAACTCGAAGCTGTTCAAGTGTTAGAGGGTTATTAGCATAAACTTTTCCCTTCAAAAAGCCCCACAAGAAATATTCCAATGGTGTAATGGCACGACCTAGGCGGACAATTAACCTCAGCTCTTCGAGAAATTATTTGAATGCCAAACCTCTCACTTAAAAGATTAGTGTTTTATCCGATGTGTGACAAGTGGCGCCGTCTTGTTGGAACCACCTGATTTGCATGGCATCATGTTGTCCTCCAATATTTTCGATCTCTTTTTTTTAATGAGCTCTTGGGTTTCTTCCATTTGAATAGTGTCATCTATGTCTAAGATCCTTATAGTTTGATTTATTTGTTTTGTCTCTACTTTTGCCATGTTGCTTAGTTTTTGGGCCAGCTGTTCTTTGAATGCATGCCTGTTTTTTTTTCTTCTTGTCCTTTTATTTTTATATGTATATTTCCTTCCTCTGATTTATCCACTCTGTCTAATAGTATTTACATCTTTTTTCATATTTCTCATTATATCGGCGTAAGTTCTTCCCTCTGTTGGTTTTATTATAATGGTTTCTATATTCTTGTTTCTTCTGGTCTGTTTATCTTCTTGTGCGTAGATAGTACTTTGACGTCTGGTTCTACTTATATAAAGTGAAAGATCCATATCTTCCATCCTGTAGATATATTCCAGTAACTTTCTTGTCCTCATCTCATTTACTTGTTTGTCCATTGTACTTACCACAGTATTTCGGTTAACTTTCTTAAGATCACGCATCGCTTTTTTGATATTTCCTGTTAGGTTATCTCTGACCTCGTTCGTTTCCCCGCCTGATTCAGTCATAATGAGATACGTGTATCGGTCCATGTTATTATTGGTTTTATGGTCGTCTGTAATCAGAACACTTGAGGTTTTGCTGCAGACCATTTTTTCTGTCTTCAACTGTCTCTCTTCTAGCGTGGTTGCTAGTTATGGGTTACTTTCGATGTGTTTCTGGACCAACCTGCGTTCTTGTTCTTCTCCTTCTTTTAGAATGATAATTATATCTCTTTTTTCTTTGCTAATATCCGTGTCAATGGCAACTTTTCATTTTTTGCAGATTTCATCTGGCCATTTCGTTTCGATTAGAGTGTTTAACTCGTCTCTATAAAGCTCTCTATTTAGCTTATCTTGTATATCATTTTCTTTGTCTCTGATACACGCTGGTATTGTTATTGGAATGTGTATGCAACATCTTAATTTAAATCTACTTGCCACTGAGATTGGGCTATTTTTTTCTTATTATAATTACTAAGTCCGCTTTATAATCTTCCGAGAATTTGTATACCATGTCCATCGAGTCCCTTTTTGGCGATTTGGGTGCACATTGGAAGGGAGATTGTGTTACTGATAGATGCTTAAAAGATGTTAGATGGCACCTAGGTCTGCCTGTCATCTGTCAACTGTCACGTCTTTTGTTTTGAAAATTTCTTTATCCTTTTTCGACGGTTTATTACGAATAAATAATGTTTTTATTATTTTTTCTAAACATTATTCGTCCCTCTGGATATCCATATCTTCTAATTCGTTCCACAAATAATCTCGTAATCATTGTCCTGTATCGCGCTTCATTCACAGTTATCGGATCGCGAGCTTCATTCTGGAAAAAATGAGGACTAATAACGCCACTAGACCAAAAACCACATCA